GGCTGTGCCCCCTCCCAGTTTCTCGTGTACCTGGCAGAGCAGGGGAAGCTGAAAAGTGCTTGACTACCATAAGCAGTACGTAGCAACAGCTAAAAACATCAGCATGTTATCAACATTCTTCTAATAAATCCAAAACACAGCACTATGCCTGCTATTAGGAAGAAAATTAACTCTATCCCAGCTGAAACCAGGACAATCGGTTTGTTTACTACTGTCTGAGATACCAGGAATGGTCACTGAAGCAATAAAATGGAAATTCAGTCACTCGTAATGAAAAGCTAGGCAGAAGATAATCAGGTGCTAAGATGCATTTCTTGTGCGTGATTGTCACATGTGGTCCAATTACATGCCCACCCATGCTGTTACTCTGTTCTTTGGTAGCCTGGCTGCCTCCAAGCGTGTGAGCTGCTGTTTGTGGGACATAGTTTGTGCCAAAAATTTGCTTTCAGTTTGTCCTAGGTTGGAATTTAATACTGCATTATGCATCAACTTTGGGCTTTTTGGTTGCTTTACTTCAACTGCTTTTGCAACTGGAGGTAGCTTTAAAAATACTTGCTTGTTATATCCTTGTTGGATTTCGTATTATTTGTTAAATTCTTATTGAAATGGTTGCCATAAGTTATTAGTGAGTACTGAGAACAGTTAAGTAACGTTTGCTGACCTGCAGGATTTTTAAAAGGTAAATTGAACGTACTGATGATCTTTTTAAGCTTGTGCTCTTGTAAACCTGTAATTTTTGATGATAATTAATTTCTTGATGAATTTCAGCTCTTTAAAAAACCACACCCACCGAAGCGTGTTAGAAGCCGACTGAATGGAGAGGCTGTGGGAACCTCTATGCCCCCTGGTTCCACAAGTGACAAGATTTTTTTCCATCATTTGGACAACCTGCGGCCATCTCTTGCCCCAGTGAAAGGTAAACTGTAAAACCACGGTAATTGTTCCTGTCTCTTTGCTAGAGCATTCAGAGTTTCAGCAAGATTGTCCTTTTCCATGTTTTGCTTAGTTCTAAGGTTCTTAATGCCTGTACTTTTGTGAGAAAGACAAATTTAAAATAGCCTAATGCTGTAAGATTATGTTCTTAGCTACCTTAAAGTGTACTTGGGAAGCACCGATCTGTGCTGGTTTAACATAACTTTTTTAAAATAAAGGGATAAAATTGGGCCAAAGCACCTCTTTAAAGTTTTAATTTAACAAATAATATTCAGTGTACACTGCTTCTGGGCCTGCGATAGCCTCAATTTTTGTGATTTTTTCATAGCAGAAGGGTTCTTTATCGCAGTGCCAAGAAATACTCAGAAATGTTCCCAGGAAAGGGTGGTGTTGGTAGCTGCACTGAGACAAGAAAGGTGGTGTTTGACTTCATATTTGACACTGGACTGAACAGAAGTTAATTGTCTGTGAGGCAGGTAAATGCTATGCAGTGATTTCTTTCCTAGTTGATTAACTGAATTTGTGCCTGCCTGCTGTAAAGAGAGATGGACATAGTATTATATGGGACATAGCAGGGCTACACTCTAAGACAGAAAATTAGAAAGCACTAATCTATATTTGCAAAGCTTGGGGAAAACCAGGTAGGAACACCACAGGCTGTAGTCAGGAATGCAGCCTGTGGGAACACTTGGCCAAGATGTAGGAATCAGTACCAAAAACTTACTTTTACTTGTGCTGAAAATGGTACAATCACTTTTAATGACCACAGACATCTTGTCTGAAGAACACCTTGTGCAGCATTGCAGGTGGGATCAGAGCTATCTGTGATCCTCGGGGTGTTCTCGCCACTACTGATGGTGCTTAGCCCTGCCTTTGTTAGGAATGAAGCAAAGGTTGCCATCGTTGCAGTTGAAACAAAGATTTGTATGACATAGCAAATACAGAGATCCTGCTTTTGCAGAGCATTGGGTCTTTAATGGGATCAGAGTATTTGTCTGTACAATAAAACATAACCCCATCTTCTTTTTTAGAGCTCAAGGAGCCCGTGGGACAGATCGTGTGTACCGATAAAGGCATTCTGGCAGTAGAACAGAATAAGGTTCTCATCCCACCTGCATGGAATAAAACTTTTGCTTGGGGCTATGCAGACTTCAGCTGTAGACTGGGTACCTACGAGTCGGACAAGGTTTGTAATCTGAAATTTGTTTCAGTGCTGAATGTACCAAAAGCAATTAGTACTCAAGAGTGAAGAAATCTAACAATGGAAATTTATTTCACACGTGAATGAAATAATCTCTTATACTGCATATATTTTATCGTTCCTTATCTGGTGGTCTTCATCACAATGCTGACAGAATGACATAAACCAATTAATAATAATTTTTTACCAGGCCTGCAACACATAAGTGAATTAAATCTATGCAGTTAAAGCTCATCTCTCCTGTTCTCTCGGGAGGCATCTTATGGCAGAGGCTGGAATTGCTTCTGTCTGAGGAAAAACTTTGTAAGGGGTAGCAGCGATATCTTAAGTTACCTAATGGTCTGGCGTGCAGGGTGGCACTCAGGTTTTTATTTTTATCCTACCAAACACTAATCCTGCAAGTAATTCTTCTTTGTTTTGTTTATTTTTAGGCAGTAATTGTTTATGAATGTTTGTCAGAATGGGGTCAGATACTGTGTGCCATTTGCCCCAACCCCAAACTAGTTATCACTGGAGGAACAAGCACAGCGGTGTGTGTGTGGGAAATGGGCATCTCCAAAGAAAAAGCTAAAGCCCTCACACTGAAACAGGTAAAATATAATAAAGACACCTTTTGCATAAATTATGTTACAAGATCAAAGGAATTATGAAAGGGGTGTTGCTCAAATAGCAAGCTTTGAAACCATAAGTCTAGCAGACCTTTGGAGAGCTCAGTAGTCAAGGTACTGATCTGCATTCAAAGTGGGCAAAATGCGTCTTTAAAACGGCATCGGTTTTAAGGATAGTTGATCACCAGGAGCTTTTTGGAGAGATGGGGAGTTTGGTAGCAATGTTAACAAAATTATACAGGTATGTTTTGTGAAATTGTCTGCTTTATTGCAGTGTTGTATGTAAAATAGCCCCATCTGAAAACTGTGTCAGGGAGGGCAATGAAGGAGACTGCCTTAAAGGTTCTTTTTCAGTTTAAAATTTTTTTTGTTACATTTTTCTTTAAAAATGTATGTATTTAGATTACACTTCTGCGCAAAACTTTGCTCTTTTTGGTAGTGATGTTTGTGGAGCAGACTATATTTGTTCAGGATCACCTTAAGTTGCTCTTGCTTTGTTAATTCAAAACATCAACTTCTAGTGTAACAGACAAGCACCAGTGCTTTAAAGTCAGCTGCAGCTAAGTGCAGAGTAAGTCTTGTGTGTTTACTAAAAAACCAAAAAAAATCCCCCCCTAAAAAAACCACAAACCCCACCCACAAACAAAACAAACGTGCCCACCCCGCAACTACTTCAACATATTGTAGAAGCTGTGATGTTCTTACTTAAGAACAGTGCAAGATAAAACACTGTATCTTGAATTTCAGGGTAGCATATTGAAGGCCATTTACTGTACTTTAGGCAATGATTTATAACTGAATAAGCTGCAATAATCTGACTGTATTCCAGACTCCTGTTCCAATGGTTAGGTTAAGCCTAAAATGTAACAGCAGGGTCTAATACAAGTAGATGCTTGTAATGTTCTCCTCCTTCTAATTGACTTTGCCTTTTTGATTGCAGCTCTTTCTTGTGTCCCTTATGTTTTCTTAAACATCAACAGAAGTTTATATAGGAGCCATTTTATATTTACAAAGAATTATAAATAGGCTACTGATGCAGATGGAGGATGCAGAATGGGTTGGAAATTTATTTTTGGGTTTGGTTTTTTTTTCAGTAGAAGGTTATATAACATTAGACCCTTGAAATTTGGTTTTGTGAGAGTACTTTTTAAATGGAAAAAAATATTACTCCTATCATTTTCAATTATGAAAATAGTTGCCAACTGAATACTTGTAAGTCAGTTGCATCTTCTGATAGGGTATTCATGTTTACATTACCTGAATCTTTTCAGATATGTGGGTTTAATGTAGTAATTTTTGTGCCCTCTCCTGATTGCAGCATGTTCCTCCTGACTTTTGTTTTGCAGGCATTACTGGGTCATACTGACACTGTCACATGCTTAACAGCATCGTTGGCTTATCACATAATTGTGAGTGGATCACGGGATCGCACCTGCATCATCTGGGATTTGAATAAACTCTCTTTTCTAACACAGCTTCGAGGTCACAGGGCTCCAGTTTCAGCACTCTGTATAAATGAATTAACGGTAAGAACTAAATACCATTCACCAGTGTGCAGTGGGAATAGTAGCAAGAAATTGTTAAAACAAAGAAAAACAAACTAGGCTCTTCTGTTAGTTTGGCAAAACTTATGGATAACTCATCTGAAAATTAATTAGCTGGTTTAGGGAATAATGTGCATCTTTTGTCCAGAGAATGCACGTGGGTTTATTCCATGCAAAGAGGCTTGAGCTTGGAAGGGCTTATTAACAGTGCTGGCAGCAGTATAGCTAGTGTGGCGTTCGATGTGGGTTGTCAAACCTTCCACAGGAGCCAAGAAAAGATTTTGATATGTGACTTTGGTTGACATCTGTTCTTTTATGCTTAATTTAAAGGAAGCAGAAAATACCTTGGATGGAGCTGCAGTGGCAATTGTAGTGGAAACAGATGTATCCTAAAAGCTTGTCTCCTTGGTGGTCCTATAAGTTACAGGTTGCCATTTATCCAGCTTCCACGCATATCAAAGAATTTGCCTGAGTGAAACTTTATGTAGCTGGTCCATCAGGGCTGGATGGACCATGTTGCAACTGGAGCAGATGTAGTGGTTGAAATCAGGACAAAACAGGCCTGTAGTGCAAGGAGGGGGTAGCAAGAGGCACAGTTTATTAGCTGCTAGTAGTCTGGTGGTTGTAGTGTTGCCAGTGTTTGACTGCAGCTCCCATTTTCCCTCTGCACTAGTTTGGACCATCTCTTGCTCTTCTCCCAATAAGGAAGCAAATGAAATTTAAGGTGGTACATGTTTGTGAAAAAGATCAGAGTCAACGTGAGCAGAGTCTTTGAAAACTGAGAAGGGAAAGTACTGAAAATACACTGTTGGATTGTTACGCTGTGAAAAGTGGATGAATTGGTCTACTCGTTATATGCTGTAAATACAACAGGTTGCTACTAAGTCTGGTTTTCTATGTACAATTTTTAAAAAATGCATATCGTCCTAAAGGTTTGTTGAGATGGCCAAACTCAGCTTGACTAGAACTTCCTGAAAAGTGCCAGCCTTGATGGCTGAACTTGGCTTATAAATTAACCTGGCTTATATTTTTTCTGAAGAAAACATGAGACTTGTGTTGAAATATGGAGGTGTTACTTGTCTTTGCAGGGGGATATTGTATCGTGTGCTGGAACTTACATCCATGTATGGAGCATTAATGGCAGTCCTACTGCAAGCGTAAACACTTTCACTGGCCGAAGCCAGCAAATAATGTGTTGCATTGTGTCAGAGATGAATGAGTGGGATACCCAGAACGTCATAGTAACAGGACATTCAGACGGAGTTGTCCGGGTAAGTACCAGGAATCACTGCTTGGAAGAATAAGTTTATGCCTTAGTAGTAGTAGTTAGAGAAGTCATGTCTGTCCAACACAGTGTCCTGGCCAGTACCAAAAGCAGTCCTGCTCTGCTTGGGTGCTCCGCCTGAACAATTAGTCCTGCAGGAAGGAGGGAGTCCAGGCTGGGTAGACAACGCAGACTGGTTTTGGTGCTGGAATGAGGTGTGCCATTTCTGTATAGGGTGGTGCACTGTATCCTGTCCACAAGTTAGCTGGACATTGAAGATTCATGGAAAACTCTTTCAGTGAACTGACATTCCTATGCAGTCTTTCCGTTTTAATTTCTCCTTTCCGATGCACCTGTTGTGATGTGGTAACTAGCAATAGTCAGCAGCATACGTTTTCCTTCCTGCTCTATTTTGGTCACTTTTTGGTCACCAGCTTTCATGACTGGAGATTGTAGTTTTCAGTCACCATTTTTGTTCTACACAGCTTAGGACAATTCATTTTGATGCCTAGAAGGAAAAGAGGAACTTAGTGGCATCTCTGATCACTGCGAGTGTAAGCCGATTTTCAGTACTTTGCTGTGTGCAGTCCTGGGTCTGCCTTAACTGGAGTCTGCTGGTCAGATTGTTATGTGGAGTAGATTTATTTTTTTTTTTTAATTCGAACAGCTAAGATGATAAATAACAGCACAAGACTTGTTCGCTTGTGATTCAGGCATGAACACAGAGGTCCTCTTACAGTGTCTAGCCCCCGAAAACAGGGCTTAGTATGGAGATGTGACCTGCCTCTCATGCTACCAGTGCAAACACACAGTTCTAATAAGCCATCTTAACTCTAGAAGTAGCTCAGAAGAAAGCTAAGAGTTCAGTACGTGCCACTTTGCTTATCACCTGTCCCTCCAGTTCTGGCGGATGGAGTTTTTGCAAGTACCAGAAACGCCAGCTCCAGAGCCTGTGGAGATGCTGGAAATGCAAGAGGATTGTCAGGAAGCACAAATAGGTATGTCTCCTGACAAGTGTTTTGGATTTGCCTTTTATCTGATCTTCACTATATGCAGCTAAAATCCTGTGGTTATGCTGTACAGAATGGACTTTGTGGGATTTTGTCTCAAAAGACAATAGACATCCAGTGGGCATAATAAATAGAGCATCTGAGTTCTTTGTTCACCACCTTGCTTATGGTAATTTCATCCTGCCATGAGTAAGAAAAATCATGCCCATCATAGCTGCTTTTCTGTGAAGATTGAACTTTTCTGTGTGTGGTTGTTTTGCTGGTGAACCCAATGGATTCTAGCTTTTGGACAGTGGTAGGTTTTGGGGGGGTTTTTTGTTGGGTTTTGGTTGGTTTGTTTTTGTTTTTTTTTTTAAATGGAGTTGTAGCATAACAGCAGAGTTAAATCTACTAATGGAACAGCATGCTGTTTAGACAAGCAATGCTGGCCATATTATTTTCCCCTGTTGGAAGATTTTGGTCTGTGCTTGGTGGGTGTTTCTTTTAGCTATCTCATCTTCCTCTTGCCCTCTTAATATTGAAGATATGATCTGGATTTGGATCTGGATCACATGATACTCATTAGTAATTATTATATAAATACAGCTCTTTTTTTTTTTTTTCAGTGTCACTAGGAATATAAATATCTTTGGCGGTTGCTTTTTTGTATTAACAAAACCTGTTATTAACAAGTCTGCATCATGTTTCTCAGTCAATCAGAGTTTCAGCATAGCTGACTGTGCTTACTTGTGTAATTTTTTCTGAAAGGCAGCAGGATTTGATTTTGCTAACTTAAGCATTTTTGAAAATTCTACTCGTGTCTATCGTAGCCATAGATGGACTATTGTAGGAAATAGCTTCAGCTAAGGAGTGCTGTTCTCTGACAGACCAGTGCAAAAAAGATGATTCCTGGCAGGAGCTGAATCTCTGCAAAGGCTTTGAGAAGCCTGCATGCAGTTTCCCTCTAGTCATGCTGTAGTGGTACCTGTTGGGTTGTAGGTAGTGCAGCAGCAGAATAGGGAAAAAGCTCACGTTATAAGCAGCCTTGCTAACAATGTCTTCTCTCCTGTTGGGTGAATCCAGGGCAGGAAGCCCACGAAGAGGACAGCAGTGACTCCGAGGGAGATGATCCATGCATAGGCCAGGACACAAAACTGCAGGAGAGCCAGAGTCAACCAAGCAGCACCAGCCACAGGCCTAGGTCATCATCAAACAGAGCAGCGGCAGCATGGTCAGCAGACAGCAGCTCTGATGACTCCAGGCGTTGGTCAGACCAGCTCAGCTTGGATGAGAAAGATGGCTTTATCTTTGTGAATTATTCTGAGGGACAAGCAAAAATGCATTCCCATGCTCAGGTTAACCACCCGCACCCCAGCTATGCTGAAGCCCGGCACTACAGCAAGCTTAAACCAGGTAAAAGAAATGGGGCACACATCCTCCGTTAGATAAATGTGCTGTCAGCGCTGACCCATAAGGCAGTCTCTCTCTGTCTATGCAGCTTTGAGCAGGGTTGGCTGATAAATTCCAAAATGGTCAATGAAGAGAAAAATTTGTGTGCAAAAGTTGCATGTTGTTCAAGCTTCTCCTGAGAAGCTGTGGTCAGTTTACCCTGTCCAGCAGCTGAGCCGCTTGCTCACCACCACCACCACAACCCCCTGCAGCAGTATGGTGGAGAGAATAGAAAGAACAAAAGGAAGAGAACTTGTGAGTTGAGATAAGGATAGTCTAATAAGCGAAGGAAAGAGGAAGACAAAACAAGTGATGCAAAGGCAATCACGTGCCACCTCCCGCAAGCAGAATGATGCCCCAGCCAGTCTCTGAGCAAATGGCTGCCTTCCCCAAGAAACCTTCCTCTCAGTTTTATTGCTGAGCATGATGTTATATGGTGTGGAATATCCCTTTGGTCAGTTTGAGTCAGCTGTCCAGCTGGTGTCCCCTCCCAACCTATTGCACACCTCCAAACTCCTGATGGGAGTTGGGGTGCAGAGCAGAGTGCGGAAAAAGAGAAAACCTTGACACTCTGCAAGTACTGCTGAACAACAGCCAAAACACTAGTATGTCATCAAAACTGTTCTAACCACATACCCAAAACACAGCATCGTATGAGCTTTTATGAAGAAAATTAATGATAGTTGGAAATCTGAGTCTTGACTTTAAAAATAAATAAATAAAATAAAAAGAAGCAGCTATCCCAGTCCTATTGGGCTTTGGTACAGGGCTTCCCTGTACCATTCTCTGCAGCTTCCAACTGCACTTAAAAAATTGGAGGCTCCGTGCATTGTTTTGTATCCTTTCCTTTCTTACATGCATTGGGGAGCAGCTGGAAAATGTGTTGTCCCTGAGCGAAACTTGAGTCAGAGAGTTATCTCTGGGGGGAGATTTTTTCTTTCTACTAAGTCACACATACAAGTATGTTGGGGGAGGAGGGAACAAAAATGAGAACAAGTAGATTTGCTTTCTCCCATTCTACTTCCTGCTCATTTCTAGGATACAGATGGGAGCGTCAGTTGGTGTTTAGAAGCAAACTAACTATGCACACGGCATTTGATCGCAAAGACAACGCACATCCAGCAGAAATCACTGCACTCGGCATCTCTAAGTGAGTAGCTCGCAAGTGATTGCTTAAAACATTTTTTCAGTGTTGTTAGCAGGAAGCAGTGTGAACCAGCCATTGTTCTTTGCATAATGCTGTTGCGTGGTGCTTCTCTTTAGGGCAACCTTGTTCAAAGACTGAGATTAAAAAAAACCCTAAAATAAGTAGACTTATTCAGCTGCATTATGTTACATAAGAGTGTTGATACAGCTCTGTTTCTCAGTCAGACCAGGCTAATTTGCACATTAGTTACTATGCTAGTAGTTTAACTTATTAACATATTCTGACATGTGAAGTCAGTCATTGATGTCTGCACGTTACTGTGCCAGGGTTGTTGCAGGAATGCTTTCGCTTTTTTCTTGCAGGGATCACAGCAGAATTCTTATTGGGGATGGTCGAGGCAGAGTGTTCAGCTGGTCCGTAAGTGATCAGCCCGGCCGATCTGCAGCTGATCACTGGGTGAAGGACGAGGGCGGAGACAGCTGTTCGGGCTGTGCAGTGCGTTTTTCACTCACTGAGAGGCGTCACCATTGCAGGAACTGCGGACAGCTCTTCTGCCAGAAGTAAGCCTGCCAACAGTCTCCTTTGGGCTCTTTTCCATACAGAATTTTAGGCTGGGTAAAGCTGTTGCATGCCACAGAACCCTGCTGAAAGACTGAGGTTTCCCTTACCAAAACAGAAGTGATGAAGAAAAAACATTAAAACTGTCAAAACCTCCAGGAAGGAATTAGAAAAGACAGACCAGCCCCTTTATAAATCCAGTTAGCAAGACGGGTATCGGGAGAGAATGAAATCTGCTTGCAGCTTTCAAAACCTCCCTGTCGCCCATCTGGGAAAAACTCTAGACAAATTTAGCAAAGGAGGGGAGGAGGGGGAACACACCAACAACCAAAAACCAAACAAACTTCTTTTGCAGCTACTAGTTGTTCTTGTCAGTCTACAAACAACCCAGCTGAAATGTAAACTGTGTGCAGGACTGTAAGGGTGCTGCTTTAGGAGCCAGTAGCATGCAGCCTCAGACAGGAAAATGTATGACATAGAGGATGTATGTGAGCTCCCCTTACCCAGGAGCTGACGTGGGAGTCTCTTCTCTGGTCCACTGGGTCAGAGACAGTATTTCTAGATTCATCTCTGTAGCTATACTTTGAGTCTAAACTGGTGACAAGAGCCGTTTTTAAGCTACCTCTCACGCAGAGTCATTGCATTGATTCTGTGGTGATCATACAAGTTAAATTCTGCTTCTGCCATGCTGCATTGCAGTTCTTTGTCAAGATAAGTTTGGACAGTTTTCTGGTATTTGAAGTCATAATTTCCACACCTGGATAGAAAATGGCCAGGTGGTGAGAGGACCTGTGTTCACAGCGATGTTTGTTTTCCTCTACAGGTGCAGTAGGTTTCAGTCTGAAATCAAGCGTCTGAAGATTTCATCGCCTGTCAGAGTCTGCCAGATCTGCTTCTACAACCTGCAGCATGAGCGGGGTTCAGAGGAGGGGCCCAGAAATTGATGGGGTCCTGGCAAATGGAGACCCCATCCAGCCCCACCGTCACTCCAAGAACTAGCAAGAGTGTCGTGCAGTGATCGGAAGGGATTAGAATGTTGTCTGTTTACACTTAAGTTTATACTGAGTTTTAAGCACTAAAAGTAAAAAGGGATCATTGAATTGATTTGTGTTGACAGAAGGTAAATGAGGCTAACAGCATAATGAAGTGAAGAGCAAGGCTCAGGAAGACATGATTAATAACCACAAATCCATAGGACTGTCAACCCCTAAACCTATGTTGACATGGCTATTGAGAAAATCCTTACTTATCCTAAACACCTATTCTCATCTTGGTTTTGTAGAGCTAGTCATCTTTATCGGGGGGAGGGGGAGGGGAAGGCTTTTTAGAAGATAGTTGTAAATCTGCCTTCTTCGCAAGCGACTGTGTATATTGTAAATAGGTATAATGGCCTTTTTATCTAAATATGAACTTAACTGCCTGTTACATGGGACTTCAGATTAACCACTATACTTTGTGTGGCATCTTTATCTCATCTATCAATTTAAATACGAATGTTTAAAAAAAAAAAAAAAAAACACAAAAAAACCAGAAAACTCAAAGGCATTATGTGTATTTCTGTTAAAAATCCAGTCTGTGCATGTTTGTTCTTTCAGTTGCCCACAGTATCTTAATTTAAGTAAGGCTATTCATAGAATTACATGGATTTTTTCAAAAGAAAACATTTTTGAGAATAGGACTTGGAGTATTTTATTCTAGCTGTAAGATAACCAGGAACTAAATTGTACACTTGTGTTGCATTTTATACCAAACTATTTACCACCTCAGTGTTGTTCATATTTAATAAGGCCTCTTTTATACATATATCAGAGCTGCAGTTTTGTTAATTACTTAATGTTCATTAGCAGCTGATTCATGCAGTGCAAGAACCAGCTTTTACCTTCTTCGGTCAATAGAAATTGGCTTGCATATAGGTACAGAATTAATTCCTTGTGCATAAAATTTAACCACTGTTGTCCTGTAGCTTGTTTGCAAAAAAACTTTTGGAACAATAGGCATTGCTCTAAAACAGGGTGATATTAGTCATGTCAGAAATGCTTCTAAGAGCTATCTTCATGTTTCAGCACATGGCATCAACTTGAGGACAGCAGTAGATTTCCATTCTGGTTTTAAGGTTCCAATATGAATTTAATTGCAGTATTTTTTTACTACTCTGTCATTTATTTTGCACTACATATGGGATGAAGTAGAGACACTGATATCCACTGGGATTGGAACACATGCATCAGATAGGCCCATGGACTTAATTTCTGAATGAGGTCTTGCCAGTGGGTTTTTGGTTGGGGGGG